CTTGAACCCCATAAACATGTACAATTATTACATATTAACCAAAAATTTTAAATAAGGTCTAGGATGACGGAAATATTAACTATGCTTATTAACCATTACACACTGTTTACACATGAAATTATCACAGTTCCCAATAAATTTGTACAATTACAATAATAATTGTTTTAAAACTGCAAAAAAGGGAGGGCTTATCTTCCCTAAACTCCCCATTTTTCCACACTTTTTTTTAACGACCTGTCGAATATTTACTCCACGGACATCTATAGAAGCACTTGGCCAGCGTGTGCACAGTGATCTTTATGCACGCCAGGGGATTCTGTGAAAACGACACTATATACAACTCTGTACACCCATCCGCCAGGGTGCGTCTCCTTCCCTGGGGGGAGGAAGCCACATAAAGCAGGATTCCTGAGGTTTCATGTCTTCAGTTGCCTGATCAGAATCCCAAATATACATTTCAGGGCTGGTTTCTGTTTTTAAAGATACTTTCCTTGAATATGTGCACTACGATTAAAATTTAAAAACAATAAAAAAATAAAACAACCACTTGAAGGACCTGACCCTCCCCACCCTGTGTGAGAAACTTCGTGTGGCTCCAATTACACCATGTCTCCTGAGCTCTTGTTTTGTGAACATTTAGGCATGTCTTCTGCTAATGAGAAACAGAACAATGGCTTTTATATTAAATCACAATCAAAATAAAACATATTTCAGAAAGCCTAAATGATTGTTTACTTGGTTTCTTTTTTGGTAAAAGGGATCAAACTCGGAATCTTGAGCTTACGAGGCAGGTGGTGGAACCACTGAGTTAAATCCCAGGCTCTGTTTACCTGTTTTTTAAGGTGCTTGAACTTATTGCCCAAATTTTTGTACTTAAGCATTATTAAACAATTATAAACACATGATACCTTTATGATTCAGTTATTGGGGAACAGCTGAGAAAGAAAAAACACATTGTTCTATCACTACATGTAAAATTTATAGAAGTACAAAAGAAGTAAATTTTTTTTCAGTTTTTATTTTGAGATAGTTTCTAGGTAAGAAAGGAATGCCTCACAATTACATTATAAGGAAAAGCACATATATAAAAATTTAGAAAATGCTTAACTATATTTTGATTTGCTACTACCTTCTGTACCATTAGAATTCATTTGTTAAGCAAAAAAAATATTTGTAGAAGGAAGTTTTATCATGCAATGTCTATCTTTCTTAAGAAATAAGGATTGGCAAATGGTATCCTTCTTTGTAACTCCATTGATTTTGATGAGTTGAAATGGCTGTCATTAAGCATTTGAGCCAACTTGGTAAAAACAGTAGAGGCACTTCCTACCATAAATAGAAGAAATTAAATATCGGGATTACATAGGGTAGTGAAACATAGCTCAAAAGAATAGATCACAGGCTGGGATTTAGGTACTGTGCAGGCACTGGTGCAGTCACTGGTGCAGGCACTGTGCCTGCCTTGCAAGTGCAAGGTCCTGAGTTTGATTCACAGTACCACAAAAAAAAAAAAAAAAAAGGATAAAGATCAATTGCTTTTTTCTTAACCAGTAGTGTTGATGTGTGCTGATGTATCATATTTCAAATTATGAAATGCCCTGAAGCTGTTAATTTCCTTTGTATACAAATTTTAAAACATTTCTTCTTAAGAATCAAATAGCATGGGATGTTGGATGAAAATGCGAATAGATTACTTTGTATGTTTTCAATACCTTTGTCTCACAGTTTCCTAAACTCTAACATTTATTTCCGAATAAATGATATCCAGACTTATTTTTTTAAAAAGATCAGAATAGCATTCTAAAAGAATTAGAAGGCATCTTTTTATGATATAGTGTGCCCATTCTTATAGTACTGGAAAAGTAGTATCACACTGTGATCAAAGGTTGGTCTCTATTTTGTCACTTTGCAAATAAGAGCAAAATTTTAAAATTATATTTTTAAAGAATGTTTATTGACTGTTGAAATGTGTACTTTCAAAATGGCTGCATATGGTCTGTGGAAATAGTTCAATATGGTCTTGAATGGCAGTGATTATTTGCTTAGTGCAATTATATTGACTATTATATGTAAACAGTCATAATTGACTTGAATGCAGCCAGTCGGGATTTTTAACTGAGTCAACAAATTAGGTTAGCTGATTTGACTAGAGTATTATAATTTTTATTAATTTCAAATCAGTTTCTCTTAATATGAAATTTTCTTGGTCTATTGAACACTAATTGAGTTAGCCAATTTTTAAAATTTGACATGTGTCACTAGTTTATCAGATAAAATATCCAAGTAAGCTTGAGTATTTGTTCTTCCACTGTTTTACAACTTTAAGTTAACATATACTGCATTGTTTTTATTTCACTAAGAAATATTTATTTAATTTCATTCAATGTTTAAATTTTTGTCCGTATGTGTTTGCAGGACGCTGTGAGTACCTTCCTCGCAGGGAGTTGTTACATGTACATAACACATCTTAATTCTTCTCTCTTCCTCTTTCCTTCCCCTTCCTCCCCTCCTCTCCATCTCTTGGTGCCCCTCCTGTTTGTGAAAGCTCTTTCTTCCTGTTTCCTATTATCTACCTTTTATCTTGCTCTTTAAATTACTTCTACTTTGGGCTTCTCATATAAGAAAAACCACGTGATACTTAAGCTTTAAGCATGGATAATTAAAGTGTTTATCATATATAACTGAAAGAGTATGTAATGTTCAGAATGACATAGTTTCCATATCTTAATACTTGTCTAATAAAAGGTTATACCACAATTGGAAATACATCTGTTAATAATTCTAGAAAACTATTTTTGCTTAATACTTATGCTTATTTGTAAAGGAATGTTTATGGCTTTACCTTACAAGAGCATGAAATACATGCTAGACCATATTTAAGACATACCTGGAATAACGTCAGATACAGAGTTGTAGGTTAGAAAAGCACAAAAAATTATACTGACTACTGAAAATGAATTTAAGTAATGAATTCTGTCCTCCTCCCTAAAAATATATATACTCTCTGAGAGATAAATATTTTGAGCAAACAAAAGGAAAAGGATTTGAATTATTTCAGCCTCTCCTCCCACACATTTATTTTTAAAGCTTAGTATACCCTCTCCTTCAGCTCTGCATAACCATTGTAGAGTTCGGGGATTGGTGATGAGCTGTACATTAGACAGGATATGTACAATATCCCACACACCACAAGCATTTAACAAATGGCTGACATTGTTTTAATCAACTATGTGGAAGACCCTACATTTAAGATCTACTACTAATGTTTTCTTAGTAACAGCAACAATTACTAATAACATGGAAAAGAAACAGAAACAGTTACCCATGGGGTAACTGGAAAGGCTTTCATTTTTAAATCTTAGTTATATTCTGAATTTTTTCTAAGTATGCTTACTAGATAAAATTCTATCCAAGTAGCCTTATATAGGTAGAAAATCCAATCAATTAGTAAATAATCAATATCTCTGTGAACCTGATATCTTTCGTTATCAAGCTTAAATTTAAACCCAATGCGTTTTTACACCATATGCTAATGTTTATTGATTCCATTCATTATTTTGTCCATTTTATAGCTAAAGGTTTGTTTTTACTATATTATTCAAACATTTTCATTGCTACATAAAAAAGGGGATTTTAGTTTCCAGAAGTGATGATAATTTGGTTGTTGCACGTTGTTTGAACTTATATTAGTCAAAAAAAGTGCCAAACCACAGTATTTAAGAAAGTTGCTTAACAGAATTGCTATTTAAAACTTGCCTATGTGTGAAAGGTATTGCTACTTAATTAGCATCCCCAAATTGCTCTAATAGTCTGTGCGCACATATTTTTGTAGGTTTAGTATCCTGTATTATTTAGGATTCCACCTAAATTAGTACTCATCATGATATCATAATAGAATTGCATGCATTTTGATAATAAGACACTATTAAACTGATGCAATATTGGAATAAAGTACCTGTAGCTAAAAATGTACTGTTTCCATAGTGTTAAACTCACCAAACTGATAGTAAAGTGTTTTGACCTACAGTGGCTATTGAAAAGCTTCCTGGCAAAGCCTGGTATATATGATCAGCATGATATGAAAACACTGAAGAGGAGGATTTAATTTTCAGTGACTACAGTTGAGGATGATACATTTTGGAGTTTTTCCATAGTTTGCGCAGTTTTGTAGAACACGTCGGACTTGGCGCCTCTTAATCTCTTTCTTGCACCCACAGGAAGCATTCTGACTCACCCAGCACTGTGACCCCACTTTCCCTCTGCCCCTGCCTCCCACCCATCTGTGCCAGTTGCACGAAGTGTGCCTGAATTGCATCTTCAGGGATTAGGCCTTTGGGTTCTAAGTGGAGAGAATGGCAGTGAGAGAGTCAACTTATAAAGGCCTTCAAAACTCCCTACGGAAATGACACGTTTCTGAAGTGTGGAACCAGGACATTGAAATCTTCAAAGGAAGGAAGGCTGGGTATGTAGTCTAGGGGTATAACAAATTCATATGCCCTGTTCTGATGGACTGTGTTGGCTGGCTGGGGGTTTATCTTTCCATCAGGTTATCAGTAAAAGCACATTATCCAAGCAAAAGTATTTTTTAAACGATGCATTTAAAACTCAAGTTCTAAAGACAGCACACACTTAAATACTGTATTGTCTTGGCTTGAGGCCGGTATGGACTACAGTCCTGTGGTCCATGGAAACATAGTGCATAGGATAAAAACATCTCTGCAGGGTTTATCATCTAGGTGGTTATTCGTTAGCAAGGGAAAGGTCTGAGCAATGAAGCGTGTCCTTTCATTTTGTAACGGACAAAGGTATTATTGGACACAGGAAAGACTGGTAGTCATTATTCCTTTTGTAGAGGCCAGCACTGCTTTGGGGGTGGGAGAGGAGCACCAGCACGCCTGATCCTTAGGCCTAGCCCACGCTTCTGCCCAAGTCCCCGAGCGGCAGGGAGGCTCCAGCGCCCGTAGGTGGCGCCCCATGTCCGTGCTTGCGTTTCTCGCCTGCGCTGCGGTCGCCGCTCGGAAACCCGGTTCGTCTCCCCAGGTCTTTAGAGCTCAGAGCCTGCGTTTTAATAAATCAGCGTGGTGCCAAAGCGCTTCGAGCGCCCCGAGGTTCAGAGAGGCAGACACCTAAACCCAGGCGGGAGGCGCCTCTTTAATTCTTGCCAAAAGCTGACGAAGATTCTCAAACTGGAGGTTCTGGAGCCACAGCCTTTAAACCATTAAATCCCCAAGCTTTCCCGCTCCATCCCAGTTTTTTTTTTTTTTTTAACTTTTTTTCTCTCCTTAATTATGAAAGTGGTCACGTCATTCAAGATTAAGACTCGGAGAGAATTTGGAAAAGAAAAGAAAGAATCAAAAAGAAGAGACGCGGCTGGTGCTTTTGAGGGTGCCTAATTTTAAAAAGGATTTCGTTCTGGGTGTTTGGGTGAGAGCCGGACCTGGGCGGTGCAGGGCGCTGCGGGGACGCGGGGAGGGAGTGCCGAGAGCCCGGGGAGAGGGAGATGCTCGGAGCCCCTATCGAGGTGACAGCGACGGACGGTGATCTCTGGAGCCTGGAGGAGAGGCTGGGACTGAAGGGCCGGGCCAGAGAGCTGAGCAGCGGGCGCGTAGGGGGCAGGAGCCGTGGCGGGCAGCCGGCTGCGCGCGGTGCAGCTCAGGGCTCCGAGCGCGCTCAGTGCCGGGCGTGCAGCGTCCGGGTCACCCGCGCCCGGAGATCGCGGTGCGGGGCGCAGGGTGCGCGGTGCCCTGCGCGGGCGTGGTGCACACCCCGAGCGGGCGCAGGCCGGCGCGGGAAAGCGGCAGGGCGGGGCGGCGCGGTTATTGGCCACGCGCTGGGAGAAGGGTCGCGCTCGGAGTCCTCCTCCCGCCAGCTCCTGCTCGCCTCGTTTTCTCTAAGCAGGACAACTTCGCCGATAGCGGTGCTCTCCGGTCATGGATGTTCCAGGTAAACAAACCCTGACCCTGCCTTCCAGGATCCTTGCGTCGGGCAAGCAGAGACTTTAATGAGGATAGGCACCAGTCTCTGTTCTGGGGGAGGAGAGTGGCAGGAAGAATCTCTCTTTGTGCGGGACTGAGGACCGCAGACATCTATTGAGAAACAACTTCCCTTTTCTTGGAAAGAACAGAGGGAGAGTTGTTCCAAGGCTGTTGGCGGTGAGGGGGCAGGCTTCCCGGCTTTTTATTTCTTGGCTGGGTACTGGAATGACCTGTCTGGTTCAGTGAGAGAAAAAGGGACAGGGTAAAAGTGTCCACGGGCGCATAAGTTCAGAGACACCCACGGGGGGCTGCCTCTCAACCCAGGAAGAGAGGGCGCGGGGCACAGAAACAGGAGCTTGAAAACAGACAAAGCCTGGGGTTCTGGTCGCTGGCTTCTGTCCTCGGCGAGAGAGATCTGAGGAGTTTCTCCGAGTGGGCTTGCTCGCAGCTGCCGGACCTGGGCAGTGGGTGTTCGCTTTGCAGCGCTAACCCCGTCTCTCAGTCTCTGTCTCTCCCCAACCCCCTTAACCTCATTCACCCAAAGGAGCTTTCTGGGGTTTGTTCTTTGGGTGGAAATGGATAATTCATTTATTATTATTATTTGCTTTTACTAACCGGCTGTTTTAAAAACACCTCCTGAAGGAAAATAGAAGGTGAAAGAGAAGACAGGAAAAGGTTTTTGTCGTCGTCCCCGGTGACTTTCAGAAAAACGCCAGTGAAATGAAGCCACTTTCTTTTTCCTTTGCCTGGGTCTTAAACCTCTCGGCCTTTGGCTGAGTAGGTAGGAGGCGATGTCGAAGCTGCCTCCAGGGTCTGACCCTGACCTAGCGCTGAGGTCTTGGAGAACAGCAGCCCCGGAGCTCCTGCACCGCTGAGCGGACTGCCCTGGAGCCTTCCCGGATGCGCTCCTCAGCAGGCCGGTGCTTTTCTCCAGACCTGTTGTGCTAAATCGGGACCGACGTGGCTGTGGACCTAGGGGATGGCCATCAGAAAGGGGGCCCAGACCCTCAGGCACCTGCTCCCCGCTGCTCCTCTCCCCAGCTTCACCTCCCTGTCTAAGGGTTTGGGTTCTGTGCCCTGACAGGTCCTCTGGCGCCTTCCTCTTGAGAAACTCCCTGGCCTTGACCGTCAAAGAGGGGTACCGAGCCCGCAGAAAGCATATTCCGCCCCGCTCGATCCTGCGCGCCCGTTGGCGATCCTCCGGCCCCGCCTGCTCCCGCCCCCCAGCCCAGATGCCGACGCCGGGCAGGGGCCCCAGCGGGCGGCAGCTGACCATGCCCCGGCGCCGGGGGGCGCTGCGCGAGCCAGCCGACTACAGCTCCTGCCTGGGGGCGGCGCTGGCCTTGCTACTGCTGCTGCTGCCCGCCTGCCACCCCGTGCGGGCGCAGAATGACACGGAGCCCATCGTGCTGGAGGGCAAGTGCCTGGTGGTGTGCGACTCAAGCCCCTCGGCTGACGGCGCGGTCACTTCCTCCCTGGGCATCTCGGTGCGCTCTGGCAGCGCCAAGGTGGCCTTCTCCGCCACGCGCAGCACCAACCACGAGCCGTCGGAGATGAGCAACCGCACCATGACCATCTACTTCGACCAGGTCAGGGAACCCGCTAGCCCTCCAGCCCTGGGAGGAGGGGCGGGGCCAGCGTCCGAGCTGGGGTCCTGCTTCTTCCCCGAGAGTTCAGGCTCCTTCTTCCTCTCTGCTCTGCCCTGTGCTTCTGTTCATCTTTTCCCTACTATGCTCTCCTCCTCCCATTTCCCTTGTTTTCAATCTTTAATGTATCAGCTCAACTTGGCTCTTGAATTACTGGGAGTCCTAAACTTTCTAAATATTCCTTAACCCTGGGATTTGAAGTATATTAGCCAAAAGGAAACCGCATGTTTTCTTTCCACTGGTGGGAGGGTGCTTGGGAATGTTTGTGGTTGGTGCTCTGCAGTCACCCAGGGGGCCAAAGTAAGGACCGAGCCTGTGTACAACTCTCCAGAGCAGGAGCCTCCGAAGGGCCTAGTCGAAATGCAGGCAGTGTGGAACTACTGCTTATTTTGAAGGATGTCCTGGGGCAGAAATGTTTATTTTAGAGATAGTAAATGGAGAACAGTGTGGAGAAAATAAAGAGTGGGTATATAAATACGGTGTGTGGTAAATGAAATGCAACATCCACATGCAGTCCATACGAGTTCGTAGTGTAGCTGTATAATTAAAGAGCAGTGGCTGAGGTCACTTTAAGCTACTTAACTTCTGCCACTTGGTTGAAAGCAGAAGTCAGAGCCCTAATCAGGCCTTTGCAATTCTTTTCTCACAGTTATTGGTTCTCTGGGTTTAAAGGTCTTGACCTTTCTCTGTGCACCCCTCCCAACCTTGCTTTCTATTATTTTTTAGAAGCAATTTGAAAACATGATTCCAGACCTCCGCTAATCAGCTAATCCTTTTGCCAAAGTGCTTCCTACAAAATGGAGCCCTGGGCTTCACAGACAGCCTTTGTGGTCTTATTGAACCTGCTTCACTGGCTTCGCTTTCTGTGCTAACCAGCACTTAATCCTAAACAGCCCCTAGGCTAACGGACATACCCTTGCCTCTTTCTAGGCGAGTGTCTTCATTTTTTAAAAATCCTTGTTAAAGATCATCTACTTAATGAGTTTTGTGTGTGTTTGGGGGGTGTTTTTTTCTTTAATATGTTTTTATTTACAAGACATAAAAATATTATTCTAATTATTTCCTAATGAAAACAACAAGGAAAAAGGCATTTGGTCTATTAGTAAGTTCTTTTTGGTGGACCATTATTGTAATGTCATTATGTTTTACTTACCAATTACTAACAAATAGTGTTCACCAACACTTTCACATCTACATTTTTGGCTAGATGTCAAGAAAACTGTTGAAGGGCAGGATGCATAGAAACAGGAGTCAAATTTTATAGATTAGCAAATTGTGGCAGGGTAGATTAAACAGTGTTTGCTTGGCTCCCAGTTAGGGAGTGTCTGAGACCCACTTTTCAGGGCTGGCTTGGTATTCTTCCATCTGTAACAAGGCTCTGAATTTACCAGCTTCTAGAATTTAAAGTTGAGGTGAAGGAGTTGAGGTTAAGGGAACAGCAGCAGCTCCAAGAGCTTAAGTAGAGAATCCTTTATTCTTTTCTGAAGCATTGTGAGGGAGAGGGTAGCATAGCATTTAGAGACTGAGAAAGGGCATCCTGAAGTGCTCTGTCTCCAACAATAGGGCCCAGAATGTTTGTGGAAGACCTGCCTTTTAGTGGCTCAATTAGTGCTACAGCCAGGTCCAGTCCAGGCTGTAGGAACCTGTGTATTCCACAAGTCATAGCTACAGCTATGTGGGCAGCAGTTCATGCTCATGTTCCTTTGGGAGTTGCATGTTATTCATTTATAATGACCACTTAAAAAGTAACAGCAAAAGGTATCTGGTTTAAGTTTATTTTATGAGCAGACTGAAAGATCTCAAATACAGGGTTTTGATGTTGTTGCTGGCTGCTTGTCTGAAATGCCAAGAATGCCACTGGGCCTTTTCCTTATTTTAACTGAATTTGATTTGTATATGAGGAGGAACAGGGACAGGATCCAGACCAAGGGGCCAGATTCTGTCTGGAACATCTGAGATGGATTTGTGTCATATAGAGGAACTTGCCACTCTTCAAGTTCTGCTTATAACATTATCACACTCCAATACTTCTATTACTGGATGAAACCCATCAGCAGGTCATGTGATCCACCCTCAGGTGACTCAGTATGTCTTTATTCTTGCATGTGGTAGAATCTCTTTAGTTGAAGCTAATGGTATCCAATGTACAATTTCAATTCTCTGCATTATTCAAGCTTATTTACATGCCACCACACTTAAGTTTAGGGAAAAAACACACTTCCCAGAGAAGAGAGAGGAGAAACCAAAGCAGTCAGTGTTTATCGATAAAACATTTCCACTCACCATCCATTACTGAGCACCTGCTATTACTGTCAGGGACTCAGAAGCCCTGGAGAAAAATGTCACAGAGGCTGTTCTTTCCAGGAGCAGGTGAAGTTAGGCCCTGGGTTTGGTCTTTCAGAAATGACCTCGTTAAACTGCCTCTTGCTCCTCAACCCTTTCTGGTGCTATTCAGTTTAGAACTGTGTTTGTTAATCAGAGAATCATGTTGAAGTCCCTCCAATCCACACACTTCAGAAACAGACTTGATTCATAGTTTGTTTACTGAGTTTCCTACCTCTGGCTCCTTTCTCAATACTCTGACCCCCAACACAGAAAATTCATATCGACTCTGTGAATGTTTAAATAAAATATACTTTAAAAATCTTTATGAATTACAACCATTAGAAATTTAGAAATACAAAATTAGAAATTTGAAATCCATCCTTGCCGTATGATAGTTTAACTTCAGCACTTCCTCCTTCCTGGGAAGGCTGAGAAGGCTACTCAGTGATGCAAACTACTCTGCACTAATAAAGAAACTGTTGTCAGTGATTATCTGAGAGTGATTAAAACATAGGCCAAGCAGGGCTTACTATGTTAGTATTGTATTCCCTCTTCTTTTTCAGGTACTAGTAAATATTGGCAACCATTTTGATCTTGCCTCCAGTATATTTGTAGCTCCACGAAAAGGGATCTATAGCTTCAGCTTCCACGTGGTCAAAGTATATAACAGACAAACCATCCAGGTGGGTAGCTTTGAGAACTGGGCCCTTTCAGATCTCGAATTGCTAAAGCCCCATTTGCTTGGTCTGTAAGGCTGAGGAACCAGGGAGCTGGGCTTTCCAGGGCCTTTTGGCTCTCAGGCAGCCAAGGGTCCCTTTATTCAGGCCCCCAGTGTGGGCTCTAAGGGAAAAGCAGAGAGGGTGGGCTAGGGTTGTTAAAGGAGGGAAGAGCATGTGGGTGTGGGGTCCTTTATGGTCTGCTGAGCTTTCCCCTCTGCATTTTAGGTCAGTTTAATGCAAAACGGCTACCCAGTGATCTCAGCATTTGCAGGAGACCAGGATGTTACCAGAGAAGCAGCCAGCAATGGTGTCCTGCTGCTCATGGAAAGGGAAGACAAAGTGCACCTCAAACTGGAAAGGGGCAACCTCATGGGGGGCTGGAAATACTCCACATTCTCGGGCTTCTTGGTTTTTCCTTTATAGACACAGAGCCCCCTGGATGGTGGGGAAGTTGCAATCTGGACCCAGGAATCCACCCTTCATAATACCCCGAACTTGCCAGAGTAGGACAACCTGGTTCCAACTTCTGACAGACTGTCGCAGTAGAAGAATGATTTCCTTCTAAATCTCCAATATTTTCTTTGAATATTGACAATTCCTCGGGATCCTGGCCTCTAATTAGTTTTAGACAACAAGGTCTTAAGGAGAAATGAAATTATTGATTTGAGCAATTTGTACCTGTGATTGTAAAGTCAAAGTCAATATCGAATTTTATTGTTGGGACCACTGACTTCTCTTTTTGTTTGTACATTGTGTCACTGTCCCCATGGCAAGAGAGCCCAGGACCCCTGACGGGACTCCAGGTTGCAGTCAGGGCTCACAGCAAGAGACAAGCAAAGAACTACCTGCCGGAAAGTCCTTGATGTGTGTTCTCTGTGTGTCTTTAGAGCCTTAAGAGAAAGAATGACTTCACTGTCATTTCGTATTTTTCCCTTGTGTGGATGGGAGGACTTGGGAGGGGATGGGGGCCATTGTGAACCTGTCGAGAAGTGCTTTATCCAGAGCAAAGCAAATTTTGCACTATTGGACTGCAACTTTTGTTTTGTATTGTTTGTGGGGTTTTTTTCCTCCAGAAGTTTACTTCCCTTTCTATACTAGGCTGTCTCCCCACACCCTACTTTTAGTTTTCATGCTAGGGTAGTGGAGAGAGAGAAAGTGTTGAGTTCATGGATGAGATTCAACAGAGCAAAATCTGTATATTTTGCTTTGGATGAGACCAAATCAAACAAAAAGTATCTGTCAAAGTAACAATAGCAAATGGACAAATCTGCTTACTCATTCCAAAGAGTCTCACATTCACCTTTAGAACTTGCAACACGGATTTTATTTTTTAAATTTACATTCTGGAATCCTTTAAGAACCTGGCATTCCTGAGTGGGCCTGAATTATATAAGAGCTGACACTGTGATGCCAAATTCCCTAAACCCCTTTTCCGCCGTGCATTTTGCTTTATTTGGATCCACCTCTGAGTAGCTCACAGTGATCAAGAGCTTCAAAGAAAACAGGACCAACCCCTTCCCTGGGTCTTCCTTTGATCTGCCATGGAAAGGAAAGTATTGACACTCAGCCAGGGAGCACCTGGCAAGAGCCCACGTGGAAGTCACAGGGGTGAAAGGGATTGGCTGAGGCACCCAGGAGTGGTTTTACAAATCCGTATTGTTTTGGCACCTTGTGTAACAGTGTTTTTAAGACTCAGCTGAGAGTTGATGGATACAGGTTTCCTATGCCAAGGACATGTCACTAATCCCAAAGCAATCAAAGTTGAGACCTCAAACCAGATGTTAATTTGTTCTTTGTGTAACAATGTAACCAAAATATTGATGATAAAAGCTCATAATTTAAGATTCAGAATAAATGGGTTTGATGTCTGACTTTTCTGATCCCTCCACATCGTCTCCCAACTTTCAAAATAATGACAAAATATCAGGGACTTAGGGATGTTAAATCCCTGCTATGGCTCTTGGAAAAGCACACACACCCATGTGTGCAGATGCTGCAGTGGCTGTCGCTGGAAACTGCACACTTAGATGCATTTAATTTATACTAAACATATTTTTCAAAGAGAGAGTTTTGGGAGGAGATAAGTGGAAAAGACAATACCGAGATGCCGAATTTAATCTGAGTTAAAATGTTCTTATATTTTGTGAGGAAAGAAATCAACCAGAAAACAGGTGGGGAACTTTGGCTCCATGGTTAGGAGGCATACTTCAAATTGTGAACATTGGTGGTAACATAGACAGAGGGAAGCAGGAATATGGGTCCTCTGTTTTATTGCTCTTAGTTATTTTAATCCTCTTTCCTTCATTTCCTTAACTTTAAGTTCAATTTAAAATAAACAGAAAATCTCATTAGATGAAACTAATAGTGCTTCAGAGATTGAAAGATAGATGACTTTACTTTTATCACTTAATAATATTTAACATACATATTTGTTTCTTTTTATACTTTTATTACATACAGGTTGTTATTAGGTTGTATTATCCAATACATATTAAATTGGCCAATCTAAAAATAAATATATTTCAGGAGTTTATTTTATATTAGAAAAAAGCTTCATCCTGATTATTCTCCTATCCTTTTTTCTTACCTGCCCTGATATGGATGCCAAAAACTACATTAAGAAGAAGCATACTGGTAGTGTCTCTGAAGCTACTTACCATCCACTGCTGCACCTGCCAAGGTTGTGTTTGGCTCAGGATCTTTGAGAGAGATGAAGCTCCTGGGTATGATCTATGAAAATATATAGGTCAGACCAAATGTTGAGATGTATTTTCCTTAATTGGATAAGCGAAAGGCATCTGTATCCTGCTGAGGCCTAGTTCAGAGACCCTAGCTCAGACCTTGGTTTTCTTGCCTGTAGAGTGAGGGCTACACAGTCAGCCCACACCACATGGCCCTCCTGAGGACCTGCAAAATGCTCTGATAACTGAGAGCCTTGCACTAATGTGGGCTGATATTAAGGCAGGGGGAATGTTTCTGAAAAAAACAGATTTTTCAACATGCAAATGATTTTAAATGAAAATCATTTAAAATGAATACCTGACAGGAAGGCAATTGCATATGAAAGTAAATTTCCATATTCCTCAATAGACTGTTAAAACTGTTGTACTATATTGGATTTTCCCTTAATTTGATTTTTAGTGATGATGATCATATCACATTCCATACATTTTTAATTTAATTCCATTTTCAGTTGTGTTATTTGCCTTTCCTGCGTGGTTCCTGCTCACCTTTGGGTGCCAATATATTCTGCCAATATAGTATAAAAATATAAAGTAACATTTCTGAAGTAACAAAGATAATATTATTAATGTAAGTAACATGGCACTTGAATACTAAGTTGTTTTGTTGATCAATGTTAGCTCTACTAAATTGTAAATGCTTTTAAAGCAATACCATTTTCTTAACTTAAAATATATTCTAATTTAAATACAACCTGGATGACTCAACTTTAAGTCCTGAGAAACTGTGTTTACCATCTATAATTTCTGAGCCGATTTTGCATCCCAATATTTTTAATATATGTGTTCATGTATAAGTGAAATATCTACATTTTTACAGTGTAAAAAGTACAATGTGTGGCTGCTCAGAGTAAAGGTGATAAAAACCTATTGAATATTAGCATGAATTCATGGAACTCTATAGAGATTTCATACATTCTGTTTAAAAAATTTAGCTAAATCTAGTTATATCAAGCATCAGAAAAACTAAAAAAAATACAAAGTGAAACAAAATCTTTGCTGAATATTTAATATTGTGGCATTATTTTGATATCAAATAAATTATAGTGGTTACATATTTAGTAACTATTACATATATATTGTTTGCCTGTGAGTAAACTGACATATATACCTGATCTTTTAACATGGTAATATAATAAAAATATGTGCATTGGCTATATCTCCTGGAACGTAGGAATATGTGAAAGGAAAATTTGATGTATCACTTTCTATAAGCGAACCGAAAGTAGTAGTTGCTCCATCACACTTGAGTTGTAGCAAAGGGAACGAAAAATGTTCTGTCAATTTGTACCACCATGTTTTGCAATCTTTTGTAAGAGTACAAATGTTGCAATAAGATAATGTTATTGTGAATAAAATAGTTCACATTTGTTTATATTTCTACAGCATAAGATGCATGTAATGATCTAATGCATAGATGCACATGAATGAAAAGCTCCTTTGCATTAGTATATGATGGTGTAAATATATGGAGAACACACAGAAGCCGGTTGCATTGAATCATTTCAAGGGGTTAATGTGCACCCTGTGCAAACACTTTAAAAATTGTAGCAAGAGATTAACTGTAAAACTGCAATGAGCATTATCCTCTGTTTATTTGGAAATTTACTTGTCACTGACAGTCTATTTCCAAAATTGGCACTTTGCTACTAAAATTGGATGTTACAAATATATTTTAAAATTTAAGAACCAAGCTTGTACATTACATGAAATTCTTAAAATTATTTTTTCTTGATATTTAAAGAGCAAGCCCACCAAATATATTGAATTAATATACAATTTTAATATTGGTTTTATTGATTTATTGTAATCTATAACTTTTTGCTTTGATCCACTGTGGGGAAATTTGTTCATGGTAGCCACAATCATTAGTCAAATGTGTTTATGTATTTGGAAAGAATTTAAAACCTTATATTTTAGTGATGGAATTCACTAAAAAAAAGTATAGTTACTGTTTTTCAGTTGGAGGGCTACCATTCATTTTTACAAGTATTTTAGATGTTGCCCTGTTGAATAGCTGTCTGTCATGTGACTGGAAAGATTTAATCCTCATAGCCCTTTCCTCTTAAATGGGACAGAGTCATGCCAAAAGTCTTGTTAAAGATATGATGAATATAAACTGCAAAAATTTTCCAAGTGTGTGAGTGTATACAATAACATTATCCTAAAATATGAATCTTTCGTAAATGAGCTTTCCTTATATTTCCAAACTCAGTAGGGTCACTTGAAATTTGTAAGGGGAAAAGCTACCTAATTTTATCCCCTGCAGATAACAGAAGTTCTGTTTCATCTTCCTAAGTGGGATTTGCTGAGGATTTCCATCACTGGAATTACTTAAGTGTCTAGAGCTTCATAAATCTTTGTCTTCATCAGCTCACCCACATTCACTCACTGTGAGCTCCTTGACAACTTAATTTGGTTTAAAAAAAACAAAAAACAAAAAACATATTCTCTCCCTCTTCCTATTGCCTGCAGCAGGACTCCTCAGGTTTAGAATGCTGCATTGTACTGGGCTTGTCCTAACAAACGGAAGGAGGTGCTTTATTCATTAGCTACTACCAGTCCTGCAGCCTGACTAACAATGCCCTAACTTTTATTATTGTTCCCTCCAGTTCCTCAGAATGCTGATTTCTCCTTTGGACTTACTACTTCAGGTTACCAAGTATACCAGGATGGAAGAATGCTGGCAACACTCATGAATGTGATAGTCCTGTTTTGCTTAAGTCTATAATCCAACTTTATTCATTTACAAATACTTATGCCCATCATTCATACCTTCAAAGTACTCTTAGGACATAGGGCATCTTATTACTTTCTTGACTTTTTAAAAAATGAGCACTTGTTGTGATTCTGGGTTCATTATTATGGAACTCACTTAAGGATATCATAGAAAAAATGTCTAAACTACAGCTAAATTAATAAAAAATTGGCAGTTTCTCTTTATCATTAAAATACCTCATTTGCAATATTTTGCATGGATATTAAAGCTTCCAGCTAGCTTGAAGAGTAGAGTATTCAATGGAACATTTATCTTTACTGTCTTTTTTTACAATTATGCAACTATCAGATCATAAGTAGTGCATTTCCAAGGAGTAATCTATCACTGAGAAACAAATTTAGGATTTGAAAATGTGACACTGTCTCCTTTTCATATTCCGAAGCGCCATGTCAGGATGTCATCGTGTAATTTTTGTTCTGGAATTGTAAACTGTCAGTGGAAAAATTGATTATATTACTTATAAAAATGATCTGTTCTTTTAGGAACAGGATATATATGCATCCTTTTCAGTGTACAATATTTACCTGTTGCTGCCTAAGGGCCAGCGATTATGCTTACAGATAATGATAGAAAAATAAAAACACAGTCAGTGTGCACTAAGAGCTCTTAGTCCTTGTTAAACCCAGCCTGGAGGATATTCATTTAAACCGATGGTGAGGGGGTGGACTGGGTGGGTGTGGGTGGAATATTTCAATTTTGAATGCATGTTTACTGAGGTGAATAATGTAATTTAGATTTTTCACATGTCAAGAGGAGAATGTTATTTTGGCACTAACATTAAACATTTAACATCAGTTGATCTCTCAACTAAGAGTTCCTTTGTTACCTCTCCTTCCTCCCATGATGATCACAGTGAGATATTCAGTAAACCAACAGCAGCCAAAGGCTCTTGAATGAACCCTGAAACTATTAAAATGCATAGAATCTGTCCAAAGGAATATCTATTGTTTTAATACAGAAAAGTTTTGTGAAGTTAGTTACTTAGGATAACAGAAGTCATATTCGAAGAAGCAATCCTTAGACATAAACATGTAGTCAGGAGCCAGGGATGTAGCTCAATGGCACCGTGCCTTGCTGGCAAACACAAGGTCCTGAGTTGGATCTTTGGTCTTTAAAAAACCCCGAAAAAACAAAAAACAAAACCAAACAAATAAAAACTATGTAGCCAGGTAGAAATGAGGCATGATTTGATGTCTGTCTTCAACAGAACCTAGCATTTTGACATTTTTTATGAGATATTAGCTTAATGAAAGTAGATCTAATTTAAGAAGAAACAAAAGATAAAGGTGAACCCAGATGGCACTAGTGAAAAACACAGATCTTGTATGTTTTATTTATTTATTTATTTATTTATTTATTTATTTGTTTATTTTTGGTACCAGGGATTGAACTCCAGTCCTTGTGCTTGCAAGGCAAGTGACGGAACCACTGAGCTAAATCCCTGGCCCTGTATGTTTTATTTTTATACAGTTATGCACATGTGTCTTTGTATGTATATGAGTGTGTGAACATAAACAATACTTATAGTCAAAATTGACTATCAAAATAACATCTGCCTATCTTGAGCTGAGCTATTCTGAAAGCTGCTCTTAAGCAAATAAGATGATGAGCCCAGGTGCTTTTCCTTGGACATGTAAATTCACTTTTAATTTTTATCTTGATTATATGGTCTGTGTTTTTCATTTTATTTCTTGTATTCAATCTTAGCAATTTATTTCACCAGAAGTTAGAAATTACATCTGGTCTCCCTGACAGAGATTGAGAACTGTTGAGAATAATTAGGCCATCTGGTGCTATAAATCCAATAGAAAGTTATGATCGGTGGATCATGGCCTAATCTGCTCTTCCTCCATTGCATCTGAATTACCTTGGCACAAAAGAATGACAAGGGGCTGGATTTTTAAAGGAAATTGTTACATTTCCCCAGTCATTAGCAGGCAAAAGGCATGTGAGCATCAGCTGTGATAATTAGAGAAGACTTATTCTCCCTAAAGACCTGTTACTTTCTGATACCTTTTTTTTAATATCTCAGAATATACTGCAACAAACAGTAGATGTCATATAGTTTTTACTTATGATTTTTACCAATTCCTGGGTATGTTCATTAGAAGAAATTATTTACTAAAATAAAAATTTCTCTTTATCTTAATGGAAAATTAAAATCATCCCAAATTTATTTTGTTATATTTTCTTCCACAATTACAGAAACATTTGTTTCAGAAAAAAAACTCCCCAATAGATGGTGCTGCTGCTGTGATTTAAGCCACCAAATAATTAGTATGCAAAAAAGCTCCAGAGAGAGGCCTCTGGGAATTCCCTTATGTCAAATTACAGAAAGACAAAAATGTGGTTTTATTTTTGTTTAATGCAAATTGACATAATTGTATAATTTGAAAACTTCCAAAAGATTTCTTAATATTTTGAGGTCATGAAATTACTTCTTGTCTTCATTGTTCATATTCTCAAATATCTTTGAACTATAAATGCCAGCAAAATTGTTACAAAAGAATGAGCCAAATGGCTGAGATTTTCCCCCATAGTGCTCCCAGGACCTCTTAGTTAAAGCTCTAGTCTGAAGGGTATAGCACAAATTGCAATGGATTTCTTCCTTCATATTTATGGGAAATTTTTCTTCATATCTGTGAAAAATTTTCCAGATGCAAGAAGCATATTGGCAGAATGATGTTTCCCCTAATGCTGATTATACACTCAGTGTAAACAGGAACTGCACTGAGTGTGGTACTACCATTTTTCACATAATTGTTATGATGTCACTACAAAGTAGATACTATAAAGCTTACAATAATATAGTCAAAGTCTCACAGCAAATAAATTTCAAGGATGGGATTCAAATCTTGGACTCTCACTTCAGAGCCTATACTTTAAACTATTGTGTTGACTCTACATCTCAATAGGAAAAGTAGTGTGAAAAAACACCATTTGTCAAATAAGAAATCTATATAATTTCATTAATCATGTGTTGACATTACAGTTATGTCAAAAGAATACATTTTGTTTTAAAAAAAGGACAATTGAGCTTTACAGGCTGCAAGCATAAAGCTGCTTTGGTGTAATTAAAAGAGAAATTTTTTTTTTTAAAATTCTTTTATTGGTACATTGTAGGTATACAACACAATTACATTTCTCATTGGGAATTGTACCTTTACATAATGTATCTTGGTTCTTATTTTTTCCCCATTCCTAGCCCTCCCTTCCCTATTTACAAAGACTTTATTTCCATTTTTTCCATTTCTCATCATTTTTCCTTTCCCTTCTTTCCTTTCCCCTCCCCCTCCCACTACCCCTACCCCTTTGGACCTTTTCTTCCTATTTTGCATTATCGATTATTCATTCTAATCATTAGTTCATTTTAGAGATACAGTATAATGACATGCATCATTGGAAATTTGCACCTTTACATAGTCTCTCTTGGTTCTTATTTTTCACCCTTGCCCAGCCTTCCCTTCAACCCCTCCATTCCTCCCTATTTACAAAGATTTTGTTCCTGTTTTTCCATTTTCTCATATTAATCCCATTCCCTTCTATCCTTTCCCCTGTCCCTCCCACTTCCTTCCCCTTTGCCCCTTGAGAAATATTGCAACAGTTGCACTAAAATATAATTTACCAAACTATTTATATCATTTATATCAGAAACACTATAGTTTGGTCTCTTACTATGTTTAGTCATCACCCCTGCACAGAAAAT